GGGGGAGCGGTTACCGGATGGGGGACACGGCGGCGGGGCACGCGGGGGGTGCCGGGAGGGCGCTATGGTAATGAGCGGCAGGGCCCAGCCGGTGGGGGTTGGCCCAAATCGCGGGGTTTTAACGGCGTTAACGGTGTTAATTAACACTCACGGAACCGGCAAAGAAAAGGGGGTCGCACCCCACGGTTCGACGGGACGGGCACCGAGCAAGGGGGGGTGCGCTTCTGCCTTGTGATCCCAGAGCTCCACACACTGCTGTACCCAGGATTCGGCTCTTCCAGGCTTCAAAATAGCTGTAAGAGGCAAGAAAAAAAACTGGATTAAAAATTCCTGCAATGTTCTGGACTAATTAGCGAGAGCTATTTGGAGAATGCATTTGAAAAGCAGCCCAAATAATTAGAAAGAGCTCACTGTGTGTAAAACAGGTGAGCATCTAGCACCAGGCGGCCACTGTGCAGCAGCCTGCACCTCCTCCCGTTTAGTTTCTTCAAAAAAATAATAGTTCTTTGAAAAAAACCCCAAACCCCTTATTGCCAGGTGAACAGCCCCCCGAAACCCTGCCAGGAGGCAGGGGGCACAGGGCAGGTCAGCACGGCCCCGGGGTTGGAACCCAGCTCTGCAAAACGCCACGGGCCATGGTCACATACAGACTCGAAGAAGTCACCACAAGAAGCCACCCCTGCCCCGCTCCACACTTAGAAAGGAGGATCTGCTGGATCGACTGGAAAACACTGGAAGAAATCCCCACTGCTAACAAGGGTGGGAGCAATTAGTGTGGTTCTGCCACAACGGGCTGAGCGGATCCACCAGCCCATTCCCACTGCGAGGCAGTCCCAGCACTCCCAGTTGACCAGCTGCCAGGTTTCACTGGGTCAGTCAGCTCCCCAGGCCAGCAGGAACCCACCTCCAGCAGATAATAGGTAAGGGAAATGATAGGCTGAGCCCTGGCAGGAGGTGGCAAACTGCACAACTGGTACAAGCCCTTGGTGGCAAAAGAATTCAATCCCAAAGTGGCCAAGCATGTCTGACTGTGCCCTGGGAGAGGTCCAGCCGGACCAAAGAAACAACCATCCTCCCATTTTTCACCCACACCTCCTCAAGAGCCGTGCAGAGATCCCTTGTCCCACACCAACCCCTTGGGTTTTACCTGGCCACGCTAACTGCAGCGCAAGGGACTGCAGTTTCATTTGTCCATCCTTGCTGCCACAGGCCCTTCCCACATCTCTCTCCCAAACCTTTTTCCTGTCATCCCAAATGAGCTTAACTATGACCAGCAGGACCATCTCTCCTGGGACCAAGTGTAGGTACCAAAGGCTGAGTTGCCAGAGGGGGTGAAGGTATCAGCCAGGTGTACTCCCATAGCCTCCAACAGTTCACCTCTCGGGGAACTCCCGAGCTGGAAGAGATGTCTTTTAACAGCCCTCCACTGGATTTTTCTCCCATTATGTGTTTAGTCACATTTTAAGCCTAAAACCCGTTAGTACCAGCGAAAAGAAAATGCACGCCTCTCTGCAGACAAGCATCTACAATGCATTTTATCAAAGCTATTACTTGCATTTCTATCAAATCAAATCTGATTTCATTCTTTTCAGTTTCCTTAAGCTCAGCGTTTGCAATTTGACTTTATCAGATGTCAGGAACTCGGGGTTTGTAGTATTATTTTTTTTTTCCTTCTTCGAAGCATGGGAATTGTAGTCTTTGTGCTTAGGGCTTAATTTCCTCATGAACTACATTTCCCAGAAAACTCCTCTTCCGGAGCCGGCCCCTTCCTCCCGCCGCCGGGCACGGCAGCATTATGAAAGGTGAGTTTTCAGGCGTTATTCGCGGTATCACTCTTATTTCATTAGAAATGTTCCGTTCGGGCTGGCGTGCGTCCCCCCCGTCATTATTACAGCAAAAGAGACTCGGGTGACGTGGGTGTCCCTCAGAATTCCGTGACCGTTTGAAGAAACCCGTTTGTTTTCTACCTTGAACCCGTGTGTTCTGTGGAGCATTTTGGGTGGGTGTTAAACTCTAAGCCTCGGATTTAGATAGGTACGTTTAAAGAGTTTCACTTATTATGTGTACTAGTTTTTTTTTTTTTTAATCTGAGCACTTTTCTTTTAAAAGCAGCTTGGCATTTCACAGGAAATAGTCTGTCCTTCCTAAGTTTCTCTCCTACACCCTCCTACTTCTGCGCTTCGCAGTGGCTCTCAGTTGTGCCTGTTATTTTTGCTGCTGGGCCTGCCCTTGCCTTCTCTCTCTCGTGGGCCAACCCACTTTAAATCTCCATTTCATTCCCCCTCAAAACATTTCCTTCCGAGAGAGCTTTTGACGATAAGGGACAGGAATGGAGAATTTCGTCACCAGTTAAAGCAATTTAAATACTGTCAGATGGGCGTAGCAGCCTTTGGGGAGCAGCATGACAGACTTTTGTTCACAAAGCAGGTTACAGTTGATTGGGAGACTTTGTCCCTTCTAATTAATTGATATGGAAAATTAAACCTCTTCAGAGAGAATGCCCAACACAACTCCTGGTAAACAATAAAAGGCAAAAATCATTGCAAAGAGAATCTACTGCTTAGATTTAAGAAGTAATTCAGACTATGGAGAAAGTCCAATCTTCCCTGTAATTCAACTGATGGTGATACAAAGCCTTGAGAAGTGGAGATGAACCAAGACAAATCTCTTTGTCACTAGTGTCAACTTAGTATCATGACACTTACAGCTGAACACCCAAACTTTAAATGTATGTAAATATTGCTCTATTTCCTGTAAGAACTAGTAGTTGAGGGGTACCAGGGACTTAAGGCAAAATAATTTAGATGCAGTAGGAGTCTAAAAACCATCCAGGCACTGAAGCACAGGCCACTGAAAGTACCTGGGTGCCAGCCTTTTAGAGAAGTAAGCTCACCACTGGAGCACCTCAGACTTTCTGAGAGCTGCCCCCATCTCACAGGCATCACAAGATTCCTGTAGGCAGCATCTGTGAAGCCACCCGCTTGCTGCAACCATTTGACAGCTCACAAGCTGCCCAGAGCCCTCCTTCAATCCACAGCCTGTAACGCCTGAAAGGGATCTGCTCCAGCTGGCTGGGGACTCCCAGTCAGACCCAGTCCCTTAGGTGTCCTCCCAGTAACTTGTGATGGTGAAGGCAGAAGTGTGACTGGGCATGAATCAGCATCCAAGTGTCCCACGCTACCCAGTGAGCTTTAAGCATCAGACTATCTGGGGCCTGTTGCAGTCACTCTTTAGAGATCATCCCCGTTTATCAGTAATTAAAGTCCAGTGTATCAGTAAATATCAGTAAATAAAATCCTTCCTCCATGTTCCAGATCTCATACAAGCCCCCTTGCAGGGGCTTGCAGCCCCCATTTCTTCTCTGCCCTGTTGCACGTTATCCAGGAAAACTTTGCATGTTCAGGTCTTTCTGGGCCATCCTCCACACCAGGAGAGAAGAGCAGGAGTCCTGCAAGTCAGGGGTGCTAACTTTGTCCTTGTACCTTGAGCAGTCCTCACTGTTGCCCTCTGTGAAAGGGACACACAAGCTTTGTCCTCAGATGGTGGGCTTTAGTTAACGTTTTCAAAATAATTTGTGTTACTTTACTAAAAAGAAAAAAGAGCGAAGGATACTTATTAGCATCATTTTCCAGAGAATCCCACAGAAATGGAATTAAGGACATGTTCTTCGCTTTCTTTTACCTGCCATGTGTTCTGTTCTTGGCTTTTAGCTGAACATGTTCTCTGCCAGGAAGATGTCAGGAGTTTGCAGAGCCATCGGATTCCATCCCTTCAGATCCCATTCTGTATCCAGGACTTCTCCAAACTTGGCTTTCGTGCCAGCCTGTCTTCCCCCAGATCCGCTGGATGTAGAGGAGCTGCAGCGCTTTGTGTCCAACTCCAAGAGGCTGTTTGTAATGACTGGAGCTGGAATCTCGACGGAATCGGGGATCCCAGATTACCGCTCTGAAGGTGTGGGGCTCTACGCCAGGACAGACAGACGGCCCATCCAGCATGCTGAGTTTGTTCGTAGTGCCAGTGCCCGGCAGCGGTACTGGGCAAGGAACTTTGTGGGCTGGCCCCAGTTCTCCTCCCATCAGCCAAACAGAGCACACCTGGTACTGAGAGACTGGGAAAAGCTGGGGAAGCTGCACTGGCTGGTGACCCAGAACGTGGATGCCCTTCACGCCAAAGCCGGGAGCCAGCGCATGACGGAATTGCACGGCTGCACGCACAGGTACTCGCTGCTGGCAGAGGGAGGATGGTTAATCTGGTCTCGTTCAGGGTGACTGACAAGCAGGCACAGTGTTGGCTGCTGAGATAGGAGGCAAAATGTCAGTGTTCCTGGAGATGACATGCTCAGAGGTAGTGTTGGGCTGGGGCGGAGAAAAAGATTACAAAACAGCACTGTTCACAGCACAGCATTTAAGAAAAATGAACACTACCCCATTTATGGTAGTGTTGGGCTGGGGCGGAGAAAAAGATCACAAAACAGCACTGTTCACAGCACACTATTTAAGAAAAATGAACACTACCCCGTTTATTTTTTTTAACATTATTTGGATCATTTACCTTGGAGCCTGCATCAATCAGAATTTCCCCTTTCCTTGCTATAGCAAATGTCCTCTTAGTGAAGAGGACAAAGGGATCCTGAGGATGGAAAGATTATCCCAGACTAAGCAGAGTAGGTAGTGCTAGAAATGCACGGGATGAACAGACTGGAGAAAAGCCACCACAGCCTGGCTGTGGTGACCCAAAGTTTCCAGATAAAAAAGCACAGCCTGCACTGGGAGAGAGGATGCACAGTAGGGTAGAAAGCACTTTTCTAAAGCATTCCTTCAAAGCAACAATAGGAGGTAGGAAGACAACTCCTTGACCTGTACTATTTGATAAATAAATGTGGATAATGACCGCAGACTTTCCACGCCTTCTAAGGAACAAGTTACAGACTCCGGATCTTCAGCTGACATGAAACTCTTTATTAAGACTTTGCTTTGAATTTCAGGGTTTTCTGCCTGGACTGTGGAGACCAGATCTTGCGCTCTGAGCTTCAGGAGCACTTTGAAGCTCTGAATCCTACCTGGAAAGCTGAAGCATTCGGTGTGGCTCCGGATGGGGATGTCTTCCTGACGGATGAGCAAGTGCGTAATTTCCAAGTCCCAGCCTGCCGTAAATGTGGTGGAATCCTGAAGCCTGACGTGACATTCTTTGGAGATACGGTGAGCCGGGAAAAAGTGGATTTTGTGCACCAACGTCTGGCAGAATCAGACTCCATGCTGGTGGCAGGATCCTCTATGCAGGTAAATAGGTCTTTCTCCCACACCGCATTCCTATTTCTGTGCTACTCTGCCTGCAACAATCCTTAATCCCCCCAATTTAGGACTACTAATTGCTGGGGGACCACAACAGCCTCTCCAGAGCTTCTCTGTATTTTATTTTTACTGTGGTTGGAATCTGGCTTCACAGTTGGCCTGCTCGGGCTTCCCTGTCACTTTATTGCCAGTCTGCTTCATCCTGCTATAAATAACTTCATTCAGATCTCTCTCTGCTACCTCCTCCATCGGTAACATCATAGGTTTACAATTGCCCATAAAGCAGAGATACCTGATAAATTCAGCCCTGCCAGAGATCACCACTCCACATTTTTTTGCTTGAATTCTTCAGCCTTTGGCAGCTTTCTAGGCCTCATGGCAGACTGCGTGAAATACTAGATTTTAGGACCTCTAATTCCTAATTAAATTTTCCATAAGAGAGCTGAAATATCTCTGCTTGCTGCTTAGGATTGTCCTTTGTGTCACCTGTTTTCTCCATTAGCTTCCTATCTATAAAGTAAGGTAGTTGAGAAGCCCCCGTTGTTTAGCCATGGAAACTTTTGGAATAGAGTTTGTATAAGAGAAATTTTTCCAGGAACAAGTTCTATAACATTAAAAAAAATTTACTCTAATGTCTCCCAAAATGAGATAAAACCAAGGCTGCCTGATTGCAATTCTCTTGGCTTCAGGATACTGGAGACAAATTCCTTGAGCTTGACTTCTTAAGCTTATAATCCTTTGTACAGGAATGATTGAAATGCCTTAGGTTCATTCTTGTACTACCTAAGCTAACCCATGTGAGAACCATCAAAGTAGAAACATTTAAGTACCTATGATAACTAATAAAAACTGCTGCAGAGATTTACTAAAAGACAAGGACATTTCCCTTCAATGTACTATGAAGTTTCAGTTCCTATGAAACTGCAAATCCTTCAGTGACAGAGGTTAAAAGCTGTTCTTTTCTGCGCGCTCCTGGAATGAAGAACTTTCTTACCTGAATTCAGTGCCGTTGCCTAACACAGCACGTACACACAGCCTCTTTTCCCACTGCCAACAGCAATTATTTTGCTTTCCTTGCTCCTTTCTGTAGCTCTTCTTTTGCCTAACCTGCCAGTAATTTTGTTTTCTGCTATTCCTGCAGGTATACTCTGGTTACAGGTTTGCTCTCGCTGCCCGGGAGAAGCAGCTGCCAATTGCAATCCTCAACATTGGGCCCACAAGGTTGGACCACTTTGCTTCCTTAAAACTGAATTCCCGCTGTGGAGAGCTGCTGCCTTTGATTGTTGTAAATGACCCAACGAGCTGAGCTTCAGTAGCTATCAGGAGTAAAATTATTTCTACAAGGTGAGTACCTTCCCTGGTCAGTCACTTTACAGGGTAAGAAGATGGGTTCCCATCAGATACTGAGACTGAGATGTGCTGACTAAAAATACATTCCCACAATGTACACCAAAATGTGGCTGCAAATTTTCATCTGTAACTGGTATGCTCTGATGGGCCATGATACTGTTTCCTGTGCTCATAAACAAAAAGCATACAAAGTGCGAATGCTCCCAAAATTGGGCAAGAGTAACCAGAAGACTCAGCAGTGTTGAGTTCCAATCCATTTGTCACAAACAGAAAACTACAAGGAACGATCTGCAAATTCAGAGGACCTGATCCAACACCAGCAGTGTTGAGTTCCAATCCATTTGTCACAACCAGAAAACAACAAGGAACAATCTGCAAATTCAGAGAACCTGATCAACACCGTTGCCTTTGCAACGGACAATTCAAAAGCTCTGCCTGGTTGAAAAGATCCAGCTAATCCTAATCAAAACTGCTGTTTAAAATAATCAATTCTATTTATAAAGCAGCTTCTTCCCTCCAGTCCTGCAGGACTCAATCTCAAAAAGGGAAAACTTTGATGTAAGAGGCAGCTGCGAGATGCAGTGCGTGGCCCCCGATGACACCAGGAGAGGGCAGCAAGACTCCCACATGGCAACCTGTCCAGTTTTTTTCCACTGAAGCCATCTCCACTTACCAGGAAATGGGATGATGATGAAAAAAGTACTTTTGTGCCTTCCCTTGCCATTGTTAACAGTGCCTTTTCATTCACTGGGACGGGATAATCAGTCTACCATATCTGAGAACAAAATACCTTTCTTATAAATGTCCCCAGAGAAGAACGAGGGACACAGATTTTGACCGAGTAACTTGATGCAACAGCAAAGGAGGGCGATGTGGAAAACCACAATATCTGCTGGAGGATCCAGTACCACTAGTGGGCAACTGTGGAGTGTGCAGAGGAAAAGGAGGCAAGAGGAACTGTAGTTGTCATTAAAAAAAAAAAAAGCAGCTGAACAAGAATACTGCTCTTCTACAAGATTATTTAGAAGCACAGACTATAAGGCTGACGCCTTCTAGCACGGAGGCAAAGTTAATATTTCTCTCAACTGCCAGTTGACAAGCTAAACTGCACACTATCTATCTGCACCCTTTAAAAATTATATATTGTTGAGATGCCAGAGGAGTTATTTTAAGCTAATCTGACCAGAACTGCTTCCAGTGTGGCTGCTACATTTTCCGGAATGCATTTTTTTGAAGATGTTACTTAATTAATGAATAGCTAAGTAGTGAATTAAAATTGTTTACAAGACTGATACTATTTGCATTGTAATTTCCTCTCCCTCCTATGATTTATTTAAGTACAGTCTCAATAGCCATCTTAGATTATTTTTTCCTTGCAAAAATGCAGGATGTAATTACTAACAGCTGATGAATTAAGAGAAATACAATTAAATCTGTACAATAGGTCTCCCTCAGGAGGTAATCTCAAACTATTAATAGATGTAATTTTCCACTCTCATAACAGGAGATCCATCACTACTGGGTAACCATTTTTTGTTGATCCTTAGGGTGGTAACATAAGCAATATTAAACCATTTATGGAGTAAAAGACAGAATCTTGCCTAGACTAGGACACTAAATTTTTGACCCGACCTTCCACATGAATCTGCTGCTCCCCTTCTGGCAATGAGGGGGATTAATTGTTGGGGTCTTCCAAATTCCCCAGTCCTATTCTCCACATAACATGTCCTGTGTTAATATTTTGGCAAGAAACTGTAACAAGCGGTTGGAAGCAAGGATGCCAGAGACAGCTACTAAAAGGTCAAGTAGCAAAGCAAGGACAACTGACCACATGATGCAAAGTTTGGTTTTGCTTTGTTGTTGATTCAAATCCATGCCAGGCAGGAGCAAGTAAAGCACAGAATCTAAGTGATACTTAGGCACCTGATTTCCGCAGAAGGTAGAGGGAATTAAGATACTTAAAATATTTCATGTTAAGTATCTTAATATAGCCACGTTTAACATGGCTATAACGGATCAGAGGAGAGATGGCTTCACTTAGAAGCCAAGGGAGATAAGTTCACAACCCCTGCCTGAATTGTGCAGTCATTTAATGGATCCCATTACCCAGCAGGTTAGGTATCTGCTGTTTGGTGGTGAGGAAAGCTCACAGATGTCATTGCATCTGTAGCATAGTACAGCTGTCCTGCCAACCAAAGCTTTTGCAGAAATCATCACTAAGGCATAGCAGAGTCTCCACATGCAGCCAGGGAGCTTGCACAGAGTGTTTAGTCACATAGGTTTGTCCGTGTAAGAAGAGATATTTATGCCTCCTTAGCAGAGGAACTGGGGCTGGGTTTCTCACTATCCCTGTCTCCGGGACCACCTTGAAACTTGCATGACATAGGTGTGTTAAAAACAGGGGATGAAGGTTTAGTGCCAGTAGAGCCAGCATTTTGAGATGTGGGAGCATTGCCAAGAGGTCTAAAATAAGAAAGCATTTCCAGTGAGGACTTGGCGTTAGCAACGTGACAGGTAACTAAACTTCCCACATCTCTCCCTGCCTCTTCTCCAGTTCAGCAGCTGAGCCTGTGGGAGAGGAGTCAGGGTGTCTCCTCAGTGTCACTAATGAGTTGTGTCACCCTGACCCTTCAATAATCACGCTGTACACTTTTAAGTCACTAGGACAATGACTTACAGTAAATGAACATTAAATTTCCTGTGCATGGTTTATTACTATGTGTTAATGAGCATATATATACAAATATACAAGGCTGAGGCAAAGGAATTCCATATTTTTTTTCTGCTAAGCTGATCCAGCACGAGTAAAATTGACTTCTTTTAGAAAACGATCAGAGCATTTCACCACTTAACATGTTCCCCAAGACACCATTGAGAAGTTCATTCGCTCAACTGAGAAATGCCAGAGAAAGTCTAAAGATTCTACACCAAAAGCCAGATCTACATCACTCTAATGCTGATTGACACCTTCCCTTGTCACTCCTTGGGGACTATTTGTGTGGGAAGATGCAATGCAGAGAGATAAGAGCTATCAGAAGATAACTATGTCATTGCAGGTAGCTAGCAAAGACCTATCTTGAGAAGTTCGTGTTTCTCATCTTACTGATGTAGTTACCAGCCTGGAGGGAGTTACAGAAACCTCCAGGGCTGAGCACTATAGGATGCAAATTAGCCATGCTGTGGGAAAACAACAAACTCAGTAAAATCATTGACCTAGTGTTCAGCTTTATTCTCTCAGCCTACACAGAGTTTGCAAGGGAGGAGAGGGAGAAATATTGCTCCTAAAAGTCTAAACAAAAAGAGGTAATCTTTGTGTTACTGGCTGAAACTAACAGAAAAAGTGTGTAACAGAGCCTGAGCAGTGTTCTATTCCCCCATCACCAGGAAGGAAACACAGATCATTTCTATCTACCTTGTCTGCTTTAAGCCAGCCTCATCCTCCACATGATTCAATCATCTTCTGCCTTTTCTGACTCTCTCTTGTTAGACTAGTCCAGCAGTATTTTAGATCAGGGCTTGAAGCTGTAGCTCTGTCCACCTGTGAGTGGCAAAAGGACACATCAGACAACAACACAAGGACAGGGTTGGTTTTTTACCACAAAATTAGCTGAATCAATAGCTTATGTTCTTCCCTTTTTCTTACAGCTGTTCCTACTAGGACAAGCTCCTGAGGTTTGGATAGAGGAGCTGAGTGCCTTATAATGGGTTTTTCTGCTGCTCCTCTGAAAGTGGGGTTGAAGTTACCCAAAACAAATAAAAGCTGCTTCCCATTTGGCAAATCTTGATTTTGTTTCTGGGCAAATTCTCAGAGCAAACTTTGCAATTGAGTCCTGCGGCCTGAGAAAGATATTTCACATCCTGTGCTCCAGTGAGAGCAACACAGATTGCAGATGGCCTGGAGGACTTGTGCCTGGTGGGTACAGTGTAAGTGCTGCCTCCCACATCTTCCAGTCAGATCACTCCTCCTGACAGACCTGCTTATTCATGACTTCTGGAAAAGGACCAAAGACCCCAGGCATGCTGAACTTGAGAGGTTCAGGAACCCTGGAGTGAAGGAGACTAAATATACCCTCCAGAGTGTGCCTCGTCCCCTGTGACAGCCTTGGATGTCACCCTTTCCCAGTCTTTGCAGCTGTGAGAAGGTGAGAAAGAAGAAAAAAAAAGAAAAAGTATTTCAAACCAGTGCCAACTTACTGGTTTCCTCAGTCTGTTCATTCAAAACCTGGGGCTTGGGCAGGAAAGACGGAGTCTCACATAACCTGTCCTAGGACAGCCACAAGTAAACAGCAACTGAAAGCAACAAGCTGTCTGAAGTCAATGTGAAAAGAATGAGGAGGGTCTCAGCCAAACGCCTGACGTCAGAGTTCCTTATCACTACACCCAGCCTTTCTTTATGGTGTCTCAGTGCAGGGTTTTTGAGATCTGAATTAACTTGGCCTTAGCAATCATGTTTTTAGATTACAGAAAAGATAATAGTGGTTAGAGAGTAAATTTGCGATAGAGGACATTGCCTCTCCAGTCCTACTGGTCTGGCCATTTTCATCGCTGATAGATACTGTGAAAATATCTTTCAGATGCCAGATTCCTTCTGGCTGATGCCTTCTTTCTGTAGGGACAGGAAATTCACCTACATGGGTTAGACAGCTTTGCTTTGTTCAGTTGGAGCCTTAAAAAAAAAAAAAAAAAAAAGAAAAGAAGTGGTTGATGTATTTAGAGTAACATCACAAAGGAGCTCATAAATCCTTTTCCTCCTCTTCTATTGGTTCTGTGAGCTTTTGTAACCACAAGGGTCCCCAACAGGGGCTGCACAGCTGAGTGCTCTGTCACCTATGCACCCAAATCCTGATAGATACAGGAAATCATGCAGGGGACACAGAGGGACAATAAGAAATTCATACCCACTCACCCTGACAGGACAATTAGGCAAGCAGGTAACAATTAGTAAGGCTAAAAATAAGAGGAGAGGGGAGGAAAAAAAAAAAAAGGCAAAAAGCATTTTGTGTTAGAGGACCTCACAATACAGAGCTGTGAATTTTACTCACTATATAAGAGAGCTTTTGAGTGTCCTAAGCCCTGCTTGCCCTTGCTGAGACAACACATGCAGCTTCAGCATATGCAAATCAAATTTTGCTAATAAAACAGGATTTCTGGGTCATTTTTCTATTCCTTTATCAGAAGACTCTTGCAAAAAGAAGAAATACATAGAAAGACTTAGACACATGCTGCATCCAGTTTTCCAATGTCATCTTATATGTTCACATTGGCAAGTGCCAAGGAGAAGAAAATCCAACTGGAATCAGTAATTCTAAAGACTGAATTTCTGCAACAAGTCAATCTGTGCCCCAGAGTTCCCAGTCTGACGTAAAGTGCTGCTGATGGGAGGGTGGCAGTGCTTGGCTCCTCACTCAAGCAGGTGACAAAAGATCAGATTATGACCCTCCCCTATTTAGCATTTGGCATAACAGAATTTAATTGGGCTTCACGCTGTGTCTGTGAGCAGAACTGGCCATGGCTGCAGCAAGGTCTGTGTCTGTCTCTGTGCACCTACTACTGCTACAGTAAAGGAGCTCTGCCTTGCAGGTAAGGAAAGCTGGGGGATCCTCAGGAAATTGAGACTACAATATCCCACTACTATCCCACACAAGTGGGATTAAGGCTGCCTTCTCACTAAAATAAGTCTTTTTATGCATTTTCACAGCTTAGCATGAAGCAGAATAATAACCTCCCACTTACTGAGTTACACACCACCAAATGGGTCAAAGACAATTCCTAAAGCTCTGCCAGATTTATGGTGATTGGCCCTTTCAGTCAGAGGGAAATTTGGAGCTGCGAAGAGATGATCAAACAGGAAAGCTTGTTTTAAATGGGGAGATGAAACACGGAGCACATGGCTCACGAATACCACCCCCAAAAATCCAAGAAACAAGCTGTTGTGATGCCCTGCAAAATGGAAGATACATCAGATGTCTCGCAAACCAAGCAAGTATGCTTCTCCTACAGAAACTTGCAGTTGCAGCAAGTGGTTTCTGTTCAGGTGGTGACAAGAGAGAGGGACATACAATACTGTATCCAGCAACAACACAATTGATCTGGGGTAGTATCTTCTAAGAAAAGACCAGAGAACACCAGCCACCTTTCCCTGAGCTCCTTCTGCAAGGAGCTGGCAGGGACACTGGCAGATTCCACGGCAAGCAAAAAGACAATTCCTAAAGCTCTGCCAGATTTATGGTGATTGGCCCTTTCAGTCAGAGGGAAATTTGGAGCTGTGAAGAGGCAATCAAACAGGAAAGTT